AAAATATTGGATAATAGATTACTGGGTAAATTCTACTACAGAAAATTTTAAGCTAACTAACCGGAAAACAAACAGGCTTACAATACATTGAACTCCTTCAAGAATTTAATTCTGACTTTTAAACGATAGAGTCATGGTAGTACAGATAAAGATAAATAAACTAATAACATAAAAACAAAAATCAGTGTGTTTAGTGGTTACAGTAAGTGACTGGGAATAAAAAATATTAGGTTCATTGTATACTTCACTGTATAGACATGGATATGTGTTGACCTTTGGAAGTCTGCAAGCTTCCATTTATCTGTTCTCTAAATATACTTAAAATAAAAATGCCATTAGAAGTATGCTGTGAAGATTAATGTCTGTGGAGAACCATGAGATCCATGTATAAGAGATAAAAAAGAATTCAAAATGCCAGAACTATAAACTAATTAAAATTTAATGTTACTTAAAAATCATATTGCTATCTGTAATAGGTTCACAGGTGACATACTGATCTTAATTTTTAATTCATATTTTATTTTGAAGCATTGATAATAATAAAAAATTCTAGAAAGCATTTGAAAAATACATGAAACAAACAAGATCATCTGATATTTATTGTTTGATTTGGAAAGAATACCTATGACTCTGGGGACTCAGAAAAATTCTAGCTTGCATAGACAAAATAACTTGTTTTTAATTCCAAAAATCTTTCACATTATTTTCTTTTAAAAATTAATTAATTATTTTTATTTTTTACTTTTTTAAGACTGTTTTTTATATTTTATTTTATTTTTTATTTTAAAGATGTGGGGTACAATTCAGGGTTAGGTATACAAATGTTCATTATGCAGGTACGCTTTTCTTAGTAATAAAGAGACAAGGATGTGAACTAAAAGCTGTATAAATTAATCTTATGTATTTTGTATCTATCTTCAGTTCTTCTCTCTCGTGGTGTTTGCACATTGCTGGGCACTAATTGCTATTCAAATAAATTAACATTGTGATGATTTCTTCTTATGGATGACAATAAAGGTAAAAATATGGGGAAGAGTAGAAAAGAGCAGGGTTGTACTAGTACCCATTAAGAGTTTAGATTTTTAAGGAATTAACATATAAATATACAAACAAAAATTATGGCTAGCAATATATTTTGCCAAGGAATTCTAAAGTTTGCAAAATGGTTCTATCATAAAATTGTTTTAAATAGACCACACTTCTCTTGAGTATTTGATGAGGTTATCAATGACAAATATTAAAATATACATCTCTTCATGTATGCATTGTGTGGTGTGTGTGTGTGCGTGTGTGTGTGTGTGTGTGTGTGTGTGTGTGTTTTGGGGGGATAACAGATAATGGAGCACAAATAAAATGTTAGTTATATCTTTAAACCAACAAGATCTATTCATAAGAATTACAAAAATAATTTTTGTGTCCAATACAATTAGAAAAGAAGAGGTAACATTTCATATTTTTAGGTAAGGTTCTGTATTAAATCTGCTCTAACTGCTTTGTATGGTGGAAACAAGGCCAAATTATGAAAACAACAGCTTTCAGAATTGGGAAAAGAGGATGCTAGAATCTGGTTCAATTGGAAGCAAGGTATGAATGACTTTTTGTGGATTCATAGTATCGCTGAGAAACTTAGAGATAAACTGGTATAACTTCTTCTCTCATTTTACAAACAAAGTCCCCCCGAATCCAGAGATAAAAGGTTCCCTTCAAAGACTACACAGGGAGTGAAAGAGCAGAGTATCCTGATGCCAGGGAGTGTTCCTATTACCCCATAAGTGACTGTGCTTTTGAAATAATATGAGACGCATCTTTCTCTTTTCCATATCGGTAGCACTGACATTCCAATTTCTCAGTTCTTACTGACTGAGGGCGTGAGGAGAGGTAAGGAGGAGAGTCAGGGAACAGAGGAACATTCTACCTTCATGTGTAGTTTTGCATGTTCATTTTCTCCCTATGATGCACTCAACTGGTTTCCGCTCACTGCTTAAATGGGGCTCATCTGCTGAAACTCTTAAAGCATGTTAATACTTCTAAAGATTCCTGACAACATTTATTGAGAATTTACTGTATGATGCCCACTTTAGACACATTACCTAGTTAATACTGCAAGGTTTGTTTCTATATTTTACACTGGAATCTTAGAAAGGTTAAGTGATTTGCCCTAACAAGGATATAGAGCATTTTCTCTTGGATGCAGAGACCATGTCCTCTGTACCATACTGCCTCCTGCTTTTCACAGAAAGAAGCTTAGTAGCCTTTCTCAGACTATGATGCCAGAAGGAGTGAGATTAAAGTCTAATGCCACTGATCACGTGACTGTTTTCTCCTAAAACAATCAAAAGAACTGGACAACCATTATAAAAACAGGAAATATTTGGATTAGCAATCAAGGTGATCAATATTTAAAAGAAGGAAGTGTAAAAAAAATTATCATCACTGAGTTTACCAACTAAGGTCAATCACCATGTTTGTTAGGCTGAATGGATAAAAAATGTTCTATGGAAAACAATGTATTTTCTAAAAATAGTTTACTTTTCATTCTTTTTTTCAAATACAGGAGAAAAATCTTTTTATTCCTTAGTTGTTATTTGACATATTTCTTTCTTTCTTTTTCAGAGACAAGGTCTTGGTATGCTGCCCAGACTGGACTTGAACTTCTGAGCTCAAGCAATTCTCCCATTCAGTATCCAGAGTAGCTGGATGTTACTTATCTTATTTCTGATGGCTTAGCAATTATATCCTCCCTTACCTACTATTGGAAAACTATTTTTTAAGCATCAAAAGTACTTATTTGGAAAAAGTGAAATTGCAAAGTGGAAGAAAATGTTTTTTTCAAGATAATTTAAGGATATCTCTATTGCCAACTTTGTTTTTACTGTCTAAATGACTGGCTGTTTCAGAGGAGACTCATGTTGTTTGCACTTTATTTTTCCAAAGATGATATAGCAAATATTACAAATGTTAAATACTGACCAGAATTGGCAGAAGTTCCATACACAAAGTTTTAGGTTTACTTTTCTGGAGTAGAAAAAACAAATTAAACTGCATTTTGCTGATACCTTCATAAAGTGTGAAATCATTTAGTTTCCCCAAGTTTTACAGAAAACACTTTTAAAGTGCCACAAAGACATATAACAAGACATAAAACTGTAAAGATTAACTGTCTATTTTCTTGAAATATAATATAAACTTGGTGACTAAGACAAGAAAATGTCACATTCCTTTCTCTTGCTAAGGAAATTGCATATTTCCTTTGCAAAACTAAAGAATATGCAGTTCAAAAGAGTATATGTGACAGTTTTAAAGTTGTTTTGTTTCAGGTTAAAGGCTTCTATAAATTTTCATGATTGTTTCAAACTTGAAAAATGCAAAGAAGTGAAGAAAAAGGGAAACATTAGCCTTAGGCATACAAGTTTTTTTCACCAGTTAAAAACAACATTTATACTACATCCGTATTTTGTTCTTTCTAAATATTATCTTGAGTTACCCAATTTTCAAATCCATCTTAGAATGAATACCTTTTTAAATTGTTGCTTGTACATACCTTCATGACCTACAATTTTCTAAACAGAAAGTGAGTGTTCTGTCTATACCAGGATTTGGGAAAGTGAATGGACATGTATTTTACTAAGTGGAAAATGTCAGCTACTAAGGCATGGGCGGTTACCTACTGATGAGTGTGCAGTGTCTGGTTTATGGACAAAGGATACCATAAGCCTTAGCTGAGAACATTAATTTCACTTGGGAATTGAGTAATTCTGAGAACAGAGAGCTTCTTTTAAAACATAGGTTAATCAAATTTCCAGAATTTCACTAAAATGAAGGAAAAGTTTAATAGCAATATCAGACACAGCTGTCAGGGCTTTACATCTATTTACTCATTTAATCTCACATTGGTCTTACAGGTAGGAATGTTGTCTCCCTTTCACAGATAGGAAAACCAAAGCCAGAGAATTCCAAAGACCTTGCCAAAATTCATAGGAGCAGACTCATGCTCTTAGCCACTTACAAGCTTTTAAATTGTGATTGTTTATGTCTTTTTGAAGGAGAAGAAAAGATGGACAAGATGGAAAAAGTCACAAGGAGGTTTGTTTCATGTGTAAGGGTTGAGTTACTTATAATTTCAGAATTTGGTCTGGGGCACGTGGGATTAAAATACTCTGGGAAGATAAGATGATGGAGCACAGGATTTCAAAGGGCCTGGCCAAGAGCGTGCAAGGAAACATGGAAGTCCCTAGCTCAGTTCCCTGGCTCCTGGTAGACTGGCCCAGCAATGAACGGGTTTTGATAGTTGCTACAACGGCATTCCCGGATGCTGTAGAGGTTCCAGATTGAAAAGTCAGTCAGAAATGCTCAGGAGCACAGAATATGGAGTCATTTGTGGGGAAATACTAGGTACCATGTCCTACTAATAAATTCACTGTAGGAGTAAACATCCACATGCACAGAGGTGTGTGTATGTAGGATTGTGGAGTTTTCTTTCTTTACTTAATTTTTTCCCCTACATTATTAACTGTACAATGTAGTACCAGAGCTTGGCTAGTCAATTCCTGTTGCTTAATCGTGAAAAGAGCTTCTTTCTGGATTCAGAAGGTTTGAATAAGTTCCCTCTGTGAGAGTAACATTTGTTAGCCAATAAAATAATACATATTAGTTTTACCATGACCAGAATAAACTACTGTGTATTTTGTTTATCATAATGAATGTCAAACATAGAATTTTTCCACTCCGTATATGTTTATGATAAAAATATGGTCGCATCAATATATAGCTTAGCAAGAAGTAACACATCTAAAATACAACGGAAAATTTTCGAATAATCTCTATTTAATTTAAAAATTAAACTAATTTGATTACTTATACCATAATTTTTCCATATTTCAAAAGTATTTGCAATGTTTTTTAAGCACATGAACTTATTATAACACTACTGATTAGGACAGTTTTCTGATTGTTGATGTTCACCAGATTATTTTTTAAATAGTATATTCTGTAGAACTCACCTTTTCCCCATTTATCCCTGGAATTCCAGGTGCTCCAATGGAACCCTGAAGAAACACATGATAAAATTGATACCATAATCATAAAATATTTCACTTTTAATTTACATTGTATTAGCTACATCAGCCTTTTTAGCAGCATGTCTAGAAGGTTGTAATTTTCAGATCTTATCTACTGTGTTCAACTACATAATAAGGAAGGCAGATTCCTTAAACTTCCCCAGAAACTACAAACTTAAAATGTAACCTTGTTTCTAAATAGTCATTTAAACTTAATATGATTTTAAAGACATTTACATCATAAATTGAGACTCATACTTATCAGATGGTCACATGGCTCTAATTTTTGGTATTTTTAAGAATAAATAAGCTTATTTCTATCAGGAAAAAGCCTAGCAGTAGCAGTAACACTTGAATTTCATGAGTTAAAATGCAATAAGACAAAAGGTAACTAAAATAACAGGACTTGTTCCACAATTAAATAAGGGATCACGCTGCAAACTCAAATTTGTTGTATTTGAGGCATTTTTTCCCCTGGACTTTCAAGGAGTAAGTTAAAGCCATATGAATGTGAATATATCTTCCAGAGTGACTCAGAGATGTGCCACAAATGTTATACCCTGACTAGGAACAACACAACTTCTGTACAAAAAATTTTAACAGGGTGTGTGTGTGATGAGTATGCACACACACGTGCACACAAGCATACTGAGGTGAGTAGGAATGGCTAGACATAGATGGGGTGAGCTGAGAATAAGAAAACTAATTATTGCCTGAGAAAATCTATGACATTTAACTGGATACAGAAACATTAGCAAATATTTTCAAATAGTGATGTCATTTCCTTCCATTACACCTCCCATTTAGGCTCTGGAGAAACCATTTTTAAGTACAATGTGCTTATTCTTTGTCTGGAACTAGAAAACAGATTTTTCTTAGTAGATGTATGATATTAAATTTCTTTAGTAATAATGGGAAGAACTTTTTGATAGTAATTATAAATCTAAAAATGCTATTTAAAAAGCCTGCTAAAAAACAGTAATTATAATCAAAACAAATTGAGATGGCAAGTTCCTTAGTGTGTTCAGTGATTATATTGAGTGGGTCATTAAAGGACTTCCCGAAGCCTGAAGCAGCAATTTTATCCTGGTGGTATGTGGATTAGGGTAGCTTTACAATTTCACACCGTGCTTAATAGAGACATTATTGCAAAGGACAAAGTGTTCCTGCACACAAGTTGTCTCACAACTCATTGGCTTTTACTTGGTTGGTAGGATTATGTTTCAACAGATGCCACATGCCCAGTGCTTGGGGGATAAAAAGTCTCCATCTTTGATGGATTCCAAAGATAAAGAATAATCACTTTTCCACCTGTTATAATACAATTGTTTTCTTTAGATTTCTGCAGGTTAAATATTGCCTCCCACCCTTGAGAGGTGGGAGGTTAGCAGAGAATGGGAACTTCCTGATATTTTGTTGGCAAAGGGCCATCTACCTACTATTGATATATTCATTGCTGTAATAGAGGTGTAATTTTAGAAATCCTAGCTCTTCGCCCTCAGAATGTAATGGTCAATTCTGATGACTGTGGATAACATCAAAATAGCAATCAGGAAGCCACTTTTCAGGTTATTTCAGCAAAGGAGGACACTCGTGGGCCAAATTAGTGAACCAAGCAGCAAACATATTCTTTGTTCTGGTCAGTTCTGTGGCTATTTGGCAATTATATATTTGAACAAGGCCATGCATTCAGCTTGCAATGTCACATGATGCTTAACATTTTAAGTCTTGTCACAATGTTTTCCCAGTATTTGAATTAAAAATGCAATAACCTGCAAGTTCAGCAGACAGCTTAAAAAGAGTCTGCTCAAGATTTATTGAATGTTCTATAATGGAGTCAATTAGAAATCTAATGCTCACATTATATGACTGTATTTTTAGAAAGCAGAATATACAAAGCAGACCCACTGCTTCAGCATGGCCTACGGTAGCTAATTTCATTCACCTCTCGTGCTTTCCATTAGGCCATGAGAGCATAATTATTTTCGCAGTATGGTTGTTTATACTCTACCTTTTGTCCTGGAGGCCCCAGAGGACCCTAAAACAGAAAAACAATTCAATTAATATAATATTGTAGCCATTGAAGCTTAGATAACCAACCAAAACTGTCCTAGTCTGTAAGGTTCTGTTTGCCGTACTAAAAATGTGCTGATGTTTTGTACATCAAAAATAAAGAAAAACATTCAGTTGGAAGTTCAAAATGCGTCTTTTCTTCTCTCTTATTCTCTTTTGAAGAGTTTTAAGCATATACAGTAGGATTCTGATTTTTTTCTTAAAAAAAAAAACAAACTAAAAACCAGTTGCTGCTCCGGCATATGTATTTCTTCAAATACCTGCAAATCTACCACATCAATCTCATTTAGAAGTCTGGATATATTGTCGCTAGAAGCCAATAAAATGCAATGCAGTTCCTCAGCAAATGGGGACATTAGATGACTTCTGCATCTGCAAAACTTCAGTAAGCAGATTTTCAAAAAAAAAAAAGGAATAGCATTACAAAGAAACATGTTTTGTTCTATTCTTCCTCTTGGGAAATGTGACCCCATCGACCTGCACAGAAACTTCTTTGCAAACTGGGGAAGGCCAAGGTCAACTGTGGCATCTAGTGTATACCAGAAAAGAGAACAAATATGCTGTTAGCTGGTGCTCAGTCTATGATACTGGGGAGGGGAAGGGGAGATTCAATATTTAGTGAGATCAGTGAGAATACCCATACAGTTGGAAATGTGGCAGTTTTGAGATTTAGCAGCTTTTCAGCCACAGTCAGTATTGGGGATTCTCTTGGCTTTATTTAGAGCAAGGCATGGCTTTGGGACAGTGGAAAAAAGCACAAAGTCTTACAGCTATATTTCTCACTATTCACATCTATTTTAAAATAAAAATATTGCTGAGTGCAGTGGCTCAAACCTGTAATCCCAGCACTTTAGGAGGCATAGGCGAGAGGATTGCCTGAGCCCAGGAGTTTGAGATCAGCCCGGGCAAATTGACGAGATCTCATCTCTACAATAAAAATTAAAAACATAGCTGGACATAGATGCACACGTTATAGTCACAGCCACTTGGAAGCTAAAGCAGAAGGATCACCTGAGCCCAGCAGGTCAAGGCTGCAGTAGCCATGAGTGTGCCATTGCACTCTAGCCTGGGCATCAGAGTGAGACTCGGACTCAAAACAAATAAAAAATAAAAATATTAAGCACTTTCTTCTAGTTCCTTCAAAAGTATATCTAATTTTAGTATGTTTTAATGGAGTTATAGACATTCTATTATTTGTTGAAAGCTCTTTATTCCATTACATTTAATGCATGACCAGCTTATTTTCAATGTGTGACATTTCAGTTAATCAGCATCTTGCATTCATACTCTGTAACACTAAATAAAGCACAAGGGTGGTCATTAGGGGAAGAATTGATTATGCTTTTTTTTATTATTAAAATACATAGTGTTTAGGAGCAGTTAGAGAATGTGTTCCTTATGCTATTTGTAATCCTCACAGGAAGACTAACAATTTCCTCATATATTCAGTTTTAGGTTATTGAAAGTATACTGTGTAATACCACCTTTATATACTCCTATTTGGTTTACTCAACCACTCAATTTTTTAACAAGCTTGCTATCTGGCATATCTGTGTGGTCAGACTTTCCTCCCTCTATTTAAAATTCTCCCTGTTTTAGATATTGCAGAGAAAACAGAGACTATCAGGTGTAAGCTCCCTTGCCATCATGTCTCTCATCAACCCAAACCCACATGGACCTCTTTCCTGTATCAGAGGAAGAAGTGTCCCTCCTATACAAGGCAAATTCTTCTGGTAGACTATGGAATCCATCCTTCCTCTGTCCTTAGGGATCTTTTTCAATCAATTATCCCTGCATTCATATCAGGGTCATCACCTCTCCCTAGTTCTTTCCTTTTAGCATATAAACATGTTTAATCATTTCCTCACTTGTAAATTGTTTGGGAAGTAAATGCTAATGCTAAGTAAGAGCAGAATTTGAAGGCTGTGGTGATAGGAGATCTGAGAATGAAGAAAAGACTTGGGTTTTATTGTTGTCTGATTCCATTTTCTCGAGCATCTCTAGAGGATCTGACTTAAAATATTGACGTTAGAAAGGAAGTCATAGAACAAGGAGTACATTAATTCAGTGTTTAGACTGAGAATGTATATGTTCAATTCACAAAGGCTTGTTTCCCATTGTAAACCTAACTTTGCCACTTGAAAAAATATTGTTCACTAAAATTGGATATTTCATTACATTGGTATATAACCCTAGGAGGGAATATTTCAAGTGAAAATAAGAGCAAATTTTACATAAAACGTTTTTAACCAGAGACTAACATATCTGGTATTTTATAATTTGGTCTCTGTTGCATGAGCACATCAAATTGGAGGTTTAAAAAAACAAATCATGACTCCAAAATTCACAAAACTAAATAAGTCGTATATTTTAACATCATATTTAATAAAAGTCTAAGAATGGCTATAAATAAAAAAATATTTTTTTCTTCATTGTTAGAAAATTGTTTCTATTTCTGGTAAATTCCCCAAATAAAAGCAGTTTTTAAGATTTAACATTAATTTTGAATATATATCTTATAGAGTATTTATGACTCTGCTGCCAAGAATGTATTCCCAGCCACCAAAAATACGCACACACTTCTTTGATCTCATTGACAGAAAAAATGGTAGGGAGACAAGCAGAATGCCATTCATTTCTAAAAGGAACTGGGAGTAAAGCAGAATTGAATATACGCCACATTTGAGTAAGTACAGACACACACACACACACACACACACACACACACACTAGTTATTTTATTGAGCAAGATTTTACTTGTATGTGTGTGTTTTGAGTATCCTCTGATTAATAACACCATTACACATCTGTGACATTGTGTTAATTAAATTTAAGCTTACAAATCAAAACTTCCCTGCTCAAAAATGGATTTGAAATTAGGGTATGTTGCCACCAGTTGGTTAAGATGTCTATATTTGATTAGCTTTATGGTTTCTGGTACAAAGACAAATTTATAAAGTACTGGGAAATACCACAGAATCACTCATGAATTTTTTGAATCTTTCTTAAACTTATTTATATTTTCAGCATGCATAACAACTTGGATGAAGAATAGCATAAATACATTATGCACTAGTCAAACTAATGCTTCTTATTATTTCTAAAACTAAAGTCAATTGTTCTAGTGATAAGATATCTAAAACAATTCCATTATCGTTATCCCTACAATTTAATAAGTTTGAATCAAATAGTTTTCCAAATAAGTCATAATCTTTTTGCTTCATCTTTATTAATCAATAAAATGCTCCTTTCTAGCCGGGCTCGGTGGCTCAGCCTGTAATCCCGTGCTTTGGGAGGCTGAGGTGAGTAGATTGCCTGAGTCCGCGGGTTCGAGACCCGCCTGGGCAACTTGGACGACCTCATCTCCACAATAAATCAAAAATTAGCCAGGCGAGGTAGCGCACGCCTGTAGTTCCAGCTACTTGAAGACTGAGGCGGAAGGATCGCCGAAGCCCAGCAGGTCGAGGCTGCGGTGGCCGGGAGTGGCCACTGCACTTCAGTCTGGGTGACAGAGTGAGACTTCAAATTAAAAAAAAAAAAAAAAATGCTCCTTTCTTAGACATTTTTTTGGCAGGTACATTCTTATTTGCATATACTTAGTATACAGCCAATTAAGATAAAACTAATCTAGTATCTTTCATTTTTCAAAATAATTTCTTTATATATGTCTCAAGGTTAAAAACTGTGTAAACATTTAGAATCACAACATATTAAAATATATTTCTTTAAGTTTAACTCCAGAAATGTTAACTATAATCAGAACCTTAAAATACACTCATTTCTTTTTCTTTCTTTTTTTTTTTTTTTTGAGTTGGAGTCTCACTCTGTCGACCAGACTGGAATGCAGTGGCACGCTCCTGGCCACTGCAGCCTCGACCTGCCGGGCTCCAGCAATCCTTCTGCCTCAGCCTTCCAAGTAGCTGGAACTACAAGTGCATACTACCATGCCTGGCTAATTTTTTAAAAAAATTTATTGTAGAGATGAGGTCTCACCAAGTTGCCCAGGTGGGTCTCGAACCCGTCGGCTCAGGCAATTCACTCACCTCGACCTCCCAAAGCACGGGATTACAGGTTGAGCCACCGAACCCGGCAATACACTCATTTCAATACAGGTTGTGGATGATGTAAAATGTATGAACTTTTCATTGAAGGATTTTGTATAATGAGTATAACTTTACTGAAAAGATAAAAATAAATGAGTCACTGGAAAATTCTACAGGAGGAGTAACAACATCACTGGTCTGCAGATCAACCTTTACACCAAAGTTTTCACAATCTTTCAGAAAAGACCATGTACAGCCATGCAAAACAAAGACATCATATCGTATACTTGATTTCCTTCCGTGTTTTCCCCCACCACTGCTAGATTCCACCTCTGAAGATTATGTATGCCATTCAGCATATGATGAGAAAGTAAGTTAAAGAAACATGATAGTCCCTATGTTGGTGGTTGTCTTTTTCAAAATCGTGTACCTCAAAACTGAGAGTGATTTCTTACTCCTCCTACTTTGAGTTCATCAGATACTTAAAAATATCCCTGGTGCGGCCCTCTTCCCAGGTGCACTGCTGTTCTCTTGTTAAATCCTCTTCTCACTCACCTCAATAATGTGACATCAACCTAATGGCCACTCTGCTTTTTGGTCTCCTCCAATCCTTTCTGCACACTGCTGCCTGCATGATCTTCCTAAAAGACTAATAGGTTCATATCTTTCCTCCGCTTAAATATCCTTCAGTGGCTTTTCATAGCTTTTGAGAAGAGTTCAAGTTTTGCAACTAGTTGTAGTTCCCCACATAAGCCATGCTTTACATTTCGACACCTCCAGCAGTCTGTTCCTATAAGAGGCTTTCTCTGTCTGGTCCTCTCTCCTGCACCCATTCCAAAAATCAGAGCTCAGTACTTCCACTCTTGGGGTTAGGTCCCCTTCTTTTGTTCTCCAGGGTATCCCTAGTAGCATTTTTCCATAG